GGGGGGGCGGGGGACTAAACTCGAAAAAGGCTTGGAGATTATTACTAACCAGCCTAAACAGAAAAAGCTGAACACGTGAATTTCATTTCTTACTTACTAGTAAATTGTTTGCTGATTTAAAATTTAACATTTTTTTGTAAGGTTAGTGCACTGAATGATGGCGCACTAAAACTTGTTTAAACCCGGATTCAAAGTTCTTTTAAATTAAAAATTAATTTCAATGTTTTTAAAAAAGAAATAGAAATATTATTTGTCAATTTTTGTTAATGTTTCCATATTCTAGGAGCGTGAAGAAAGAAAAAAGGGTGCAGGAGGTGATAAAGATCGCGGTAGTAGGGACAGAGATCGCGGGAGTAGAGATCGTGGGAGTAGAGATCGTGATCGTGGTAGTGATCGGGGTTACAGGGGAAGAGGGGGTGGTGAAGATGACAATCCGAATATGGTTCCCATCGGAGGTAGCAGGGGAAGGAATGATCGCTCTTCCAAGGATGATCATTATTCAAGAAGTGATCGTCGGGATGATAGATCCTCAAGAGATGATCGAAGACGTGACGATCATAAATCATCAAGGGATGATCGCATAAAGGACGATCATAGTGATGACGACGACGGGTCTCAGTATAAAAGATACTATGATGACGATGATGGAAATGATCGAAAGTCGTCCAAGAAATCGCACCGTGATCGTGATGACGACGATGATGATCGAGATCGAAAGCATAAAAAGTCACATAAGTCTCGTCGATCCAGAAGTGATGACGATGATGACCGAAGATCGACCAAAAAGAAGAAAAAAGATCGGTCAAGGTCAAGATCCCGCTCCAGGTCCAGGCGCCGTGACCGATCCCGGTCAAAGAAGCGGGATCGCTCTGAAGATCGATCAAGGCGCAGCGATCGATCCAGAGATGAGACAGAAGTGAAGAAAGAATACGGTGGAGGGAGAAAGGATTTGGAGGAGGGCGAGGTCCCTGAAGGAAACTGGAAGGATTGGTATTCCAAGGGGGCCCCTACAGGAGGTCCGCCTCCTCCACCAATGTGTCCACCACCCCAGCGCCCCCCTCCACCCCCAGGTGGTGGTTGGGGACATGATAACCGATACTAAGTTGTCCAGCAGCGAGTGATCAGTGATTTGAAAAGTTAAAAATGAGTTCTTGAGGAAATAATTGTTCTCCGTTACCTTCCATCTACTTGGGAAGAACAATTTTGATTAAATCTTGATAATTACAGTTTTAATAATTGTTATTTTATGTTGTTGTTACGAAACTATCATTATATCCTTTTCTTGAGTAGGTCGGACATTCATTGTTGAAAGATTTTCTGTTATTTTTGACGTCTGCTTTTTTCACAATTTTAAGACTAACTTGTGTTTCAAATTAATTTTGCATTTGTTGTAATCTTTTTATTTCACGCAATTTTTGTTATAAAATGTTTTTTACCCTTGGTATAAATAGCCACGAGTCAGGGTTTGAAAATTTGTGAAATCAAAAATCTTAGGTTTAAATGCATGGATAGTTTCGAATTAAAGATTGATTTTTAATTTCTTCTCAAGAATTTTCTGGAGATGAACTTTTTTATAAGACTTGCTTTAAAATACGGATGGTAGGATTAAATATCAACTCTTAATTTCTACGAAGGCAGGTTTAAATCTTTAAATCTTTGAAGGCTGGTTTAAATCTTTAATTCTACGAAGGCAGGTTTAAATCTTAAATTCAACGAAAGCAGATTTGAATCTGAAATTATACGAAGGCATGTTTAAATCTTAAATTCTACGAAGGCAGGTGTAAATCTTAAATTATACGAAGGCAGGTTTAAATCTTAATATTCTACGAAGGCAGGTTTAAATATTAATAATCTACGAAGGCAGGTTTAAATCTTGAATTCTACGAAGGCAGGTTTAAATCTTAAATTCTATGAAGGCAGGTTTAAATTTTAAATTCTACGAAGGCGGGTTTAAATCTAAAATTCTACGAAGGCAGGTTTATATCTTAATTCTACCAAGGCAGGTTTATATCTTTAATTCTACGAAGGCAGGTTTAAATCTTAAATTCTAGGAAGGTGGGTTTGAATGTTAAACTCTACGAAGGCAGGTTTAAATCTTAAATTCTACGAAGGCGGGTTTGAACGTTAGATTCTACGAAGGCAGGTTTAAATCTTAAATTCTATGAAGGCGGGTTTGAATATTAAATTCTACTTAGGCAGGTTTAAATTTTAAATTCTATGAAGGCAGTTTTAAATCTTAATATTCTACGAAGGCAGGTTTAAATTTTAAATTCTATGAATTCAGGTTTAAATTTTAAATTCTACGAAGGCAGGTTTAAATCTTAAATTCTACGAAGGCAGGTTTAAATCTTAAATTCTACGAAGGCGGGTTTAAATCTGAAATTCAGCGAAAGCAGATTTAAATCTGAAATTCTACGAAGGCAGGTTTAAATTTTAAATTCTACGAAGGCAGGTTAAAATCTTAAATTCTACGAAGGCAGGTTTAAATTTTAAATTCTACGAAGGCAGGTTTAAATCTTAAATTCTACGAAGGCAGGTTTAAACATTAAATTCTACTAAGACAGGTTTAAATCTTAAATTCTACGAAGGCAGGTTTATATCTAAAATTCTACCAAGGCAGGTTCATATCTTAAATTCTACGAAGGCAGGTTGAATCTTAATATTCTTAAAATTAGATTTTAAGATTTTCTAGCGAGTTTGAAAGTAAATGGTTAAGGGTTATTATCTTAAATGAAAAAAAAAATTAATTTATGAAAATAACTGTTTTATCTAAAATTAACAGTTACTCTAGTAAACATCTTTCATCCAATTTAAGTCGTTTTTTTCTTCATTTTATCCATAAATCTAAGTTTAAATTTTATTACTTTAAAAGATGAATTTTTATATTTTAACGAAGAAAAAGCTGCAGAATCTATCTGACCTTCAAAGCTGCCGGCCTACTCAGGACTCAATCATCCTTAAAAAATTGTAAATTTGATATTTCTCTTTAGAAAATTGTGGGCATTTGAACGCCATCTTCTGAATTCAGATGAGTTCAATTATTCTTCTTTTTTTTTCAGAATAAAAATCAATGAACTGGATCCAATGACAGACGGAAGACCCACATTGAGAAGAAGATTAGGTAATGATATAAATTCGATCAAACAATTTTTCTTCCATTTTTTTTCTGCGACAAGATACTGCTATTTGGTGGATTTTTTTCTGTCTCTTAACGAAAATAGAGAAAGGCTGTTTTAAGAAACACCCCTTATATGAAGCTCCTTATGTGAAGTTTAAAATTTGTAATCTTTCTCAAATTTGCTATTATTCTAAGAGTTTTTAAACGCGTTAGATAAAACAGCGATGTTGTATTAACCCGCCCCCCCCCCCACTCTTCCAATTTTATGTCATTCTAGACTTTATCTGACCCCTGGCTTTCATGTCATATTGTAAACAATGTTGATTTTTATTGAAGGATCTGAATCCGAGAAAGCGACTGGTTCCGAAAGCTATGTGATTTCTTCTAAATCTACTTTCAAAGTAAGTTTTGACATTAAGTGAATTTTTCTATTGAAGCGGTTTAATCTTTTTATTGTTAAAGGAAAATGCTGATTTTTGGTTTTAAGTAAATAATAACTTCAAATGTTTCTATTTTTAAATTTCAGGGGATTTTTGTTAAGTTTTATCATATTTGTTTACCAAGGTTACAGAAGAAGTTTCACCGGACCCTAGTCCCAACCCCAGATTTTCAAAAACAAATCTTCAGGTAATCAATTGTTATACTTTTAAACATTTCTTGCTCTGAGTTAAGTTGTCTCAAAGAACCACTAAATTCATGAACTTTAACACGTACCGATGAATTAAATATTGTTTCTTCTCTGAGGTATTTAGAGGAAGAATTTAACCGAATTTAAGGAATTGCTGAACTAAAGAACAACGGTTCAAATCCTGAATAACAAATTCAAATCTTCATGAATCTTTATCTTTGAATCGATGATTCGAATTTGAACCGGTAGTAGGTAGTTCAATAACCTAGCTTAAATTCATAAAATTTAGTCTCCAAAGGTGTAAAATTCAAATTCTTTTAAACTTGTTAAAGGGAAAGAATTCAAATTGACTTATTTTACATACTGAGATTAGGACGGGAAACTTTATGCAAAATTACAAAAATGTCAAACGAAAAATATTTTTTATCTGAATTCATAGTAGCGGAATGTTCTTAAATTCAAGATTTGGGTTGAAAACAGCAATGTGTTCGTTTTGTTCTTAATTTTTATTTTCTTAATTTCTTGCCCCTGAAAAGTTTTTTCTTCAACAAATTCCATCAGCAGTCAGCACCCTTCAAGTTATTATTTTTTTGCAATTTCAAATAAATGTTCTTGAAAAAATCTATTTTTTCTTGAAAATCCAAATTTTTGGAGAAAGTTAATAATTTTTGGCAAAATTGTCAGAAAAATAAAAGATTTAAGAACAACGTTATTATTTTTTTGGGAGTCATCGGCTAGATTCTTATTATTTAGGCCGATATGGGAGGAAGTAGTCGAGACAGAACTCGGGAGTTTAACGATACAGTTCGATCTCTACAGGGGAGAACAGCTAATGGTCATGCTGGTTTTAGACCGGTTAGTATTTAGTTACCTTTTTTATCATTCCATATATATATATATAAAGTTGTAATCTCCTTTTGTCTGTCTGTTTGTTTGTTTGTCCGATCATAACTCGGGAACCTCTTTACCGATTTGCCTCAAATTTTAATCTGGGAACTTGGGAGTCCCACGGGAATGTACTTTGCTTGGTTTTGAGATTCTGAATTGAGTGGGTTAACTTTAATAGCGAAAGTTTAGTATCCCGATAAATTCGTTCAAGTGCGAGTAAATGGCAGGAGTAACTTAAATTAACCTTTGCAGCGCACGCTTGGTTCCCAAGCTAGCATATTAATAGAGTTGAATGCTCGATTCACAAAAATAATTGAAATATCCTTGCGTATTTATGAAGCAATAACAAGGAAGGTAATGAACAGATACATAAATTGATATTTCTTCACTGTCATTTAGATAATAGTTTTAAGGGTACCATAGGTACAACTTTTTAGATTAAGGATCCCTTCGAATTATGGCCACAGACCCTTTAAAAATTGTTTTATCAGGGAAGACCGGGAAGTCAGGCCTCACATTTTATGAAGATTGCTAAGGCTATCGGATCCGATATAACGAAAACCTACACTAAACTTGAGAAACTAGCACTCCTAGCCAGGTAAACATATATCAGGGGTCAACCTCCCCCCCCCCCCTTTTGGGTTGATTAAAGGGAACATAACAAAAACATTGATATTTGAGTTGTATTATTTTTGTATTAATTCTCAAAGAGCTAATGATCCGTTCTGAGTAGAAAATTAAACCAGAGACCGAATTTAAAACATTCTTTAAATTCGGCCTCAGATCCAGCTTTTTAGAGCTTTTCTTTATCTTATCAAATGATCCTGAAAATTAGAGAATTTTTTATATTTTTTTCTCAAAGCGAAAGAACTGGTTCTCATGAAAGGGAGTGGCACAAATTGTTCAAGAAAATATAAACCCCCTTACTGTCTGCGAGGAAGAGTAATAATTTGCATCTCCTAGATGGATAAGATTCAGAACACATGAATCAGCTATTATAAAAGACATGAGGTTTTGTTCAGGAAAAAGACGATTTTTGACGATAAACCTGTGGAGATACAAGAGTTAACGTTTATTATTAAGGAAGACATTGCTAACCTTAATAAACAGATTGCTCAGCTACAGCAGGTTAATTTATAGGATATCCGATTCATTGATTTATTGATTCATTTAATCTTTTACTCGTTAATTCGTTTATTCGTTTAGTTTTTAATAATTTCTTTTCATTATTTATTCATTTTTTCATTTATAATTTTATTTTATTGATTTGATTTGATTTGCATTAAATGATTAATTGGATTTGATTTTGATTGATTGATTGAGTGTGTACAGGTTGCAAAGGGTCAGCGGGATGGACAAGGAAAGCATCAGCAATCACATTCCACGAGTGTTGTCGTCTCTCTTCAGTCAAAACTGGCGGCCATGTCGAATAATTTTAAACAGGTGCATCAAATTCGATTTATTTATTTTTCTTGGAACGACTTGAACATTTCCTTTATTGGATTAAAGTCGAATTTTTTTTCTAAATATTCACTAATCGGCGCTACAACCTTTTTTAGTGTAATTTTTTAATAACTTAATTTGAGCTATGCCTTTTTTCCTAGCCTGCCGTGCCTAGGAAAGTCTAAGACCTAATCTTACCCTAATTAATTTGAAAGACGAAAATGTCGTTAAGTAAAAATTCCGTTAAAAAACTACAACGACGTAAGCCAAAATGTCGTAACACAAAATATATTCAGGTTTTAGAAGTAAGAAATGAAAATTTGAAATCTCAGCGTAATCGTGCCGAACAGTTTAGTAACGGTAAGTAATAAGCTAAAATAAACAACAACAACAAAGTATTGTTCTCAAGCATACAAATACTTAGTATCTACTGTCTACCGATGAAAAAATATTTGAAACTTTTTGAATGGTTCTTTATCTTCAGGTTTCAACATATTCCTGTTTATACACTGTACACTATACAGTCATACTCAGAAAGACTCGCAATTAATTTATAATTAATCAGACGATTTTATAATCTAATTCTACAAATATGATAAATGAAACGATAATAACAAAATAGCCCAAGTCCTGCCAATTCCAAAATGTGGTATGCCTTAATTGTGCGTTTAAAATTACTAGAGATATATATGTAAAGTCGTCTGATAAACTGTCCATTAATTTTGGGTCTTTCTGGTTATGACTATCGTAGAAGAAAAAAATTGCAGCTCTACAGTCTACCGTCTGCAGTCTACAAAGTTTGCTGTTATGTAATAATGCACAATGTTGATATCGGAAGAAAATAAAACCAAAAACAAAGCAAATCTGATTTTTCGTTATAAACTGATTTGAATATATCTTCAGCCGGAGCCATCTTTCTACAATCTATATGATTTCATAAAAGTAACATTTTAAGCAAACCTTTTTGAAAACTATGCTTTATCTTCTTAATACTTCTGACCTCTGGAGAGCTCAAAAAAAACTTTAAATGTTAAGATAAAAATATGGAACAAGATTTCTTTTTCAAATTTTTCCTGTAATACTTCGATAGGATTCAGCCGATATTTTTAACAACAAAGGTGTAACAACTATTAGATTAAATTTAAGTTGTTTAATTCTCAGAACTACAAACTCCCGGGGGGGGGGGGGGGTTTGAAAAGTGGACGTCAATAGGCAAATTTTTCATCGTCTTTGAGACCTTCTCCAAAAATTCAGTTTTTTTCCCCAATTAAGTGAGAAAAAATCCTTTAAAAAACATAAATTTAGAAAGAAATAAAGAAATAAAGCAATAAAGCATACTCAATCTCTGATGGACAAATTATTTTCAAAGATTTTTCAAGAAAATGTTATTATACCGCTGGTTTTAATTTATTAATTTATTTAGGCGGAGTAACGTCTTCTCTACCCCAGTCTGCTACGACGGGTTACCATGCTGGCTCTGTTCTAGCAATGGAAGACGATATTCAAGGCGGTGCTGTATCTATAGATATGGGAGGAGCAGTCCAGTCATTCATGCAGGTTAGAAAGGGTTCTTCAAGGAACAATATACCTCATTTCAATTGAAATTTCCTGGTTATTTCACGGTTTCAGATTTACTTACTTGTTTACTTGTGTGGTGATTTGCAGGAGACCTATTGGTCCATGGTGCAAACATCTTTGGGGTCCTCTGGGAACTATGTGGCTTCTCCGCTGAGTTATTTATCAGGTTGCTACATGACACAGTTCCTATTAGCATAGAAAAGAAGTTTAAATGGCAATATTCTTCAGTTTAGTTTTAAAACTGGTCACATTCCTGGACTCCTTCACATCAGTTGGTAAATTATTCCAGAGGGAAACTGCTCTGCAAGAAAAGAAATTTCGTCTTATATCTGTTTTAAATCTTGTCGCAATTTGAGTCTTATTGTAGGAGGTATTTCTTGTCAATCTAGTTAGGTTAGGTCATCTACCCTACGGAACAAAATAGATGATTTGAACTCTCTCCAAAATTTCTTTTGTCACTATCTAATCTGATAACTAACTGATAACCTTACCAATTAATGTTTTTCAAAAATGAAATGGTTCCAAAAATGGTGCATGGCTGAAATTTGGTCGTGTTGTTGGGATCCAAGATAATGTTGAATACTAATGTTAAATAATTAATTGCAAAATGTCTTTTATTAACTAGGTCCGGGCTAAATTCAGATGAAACTTGAACCGTTCTTCTGGATTTTGGAGCTCAAAGCAAACCCTTCATTTCAAGATTTGATTTAATACCATTTTCTAATTCACGATAGCACCTTTTATCCCTTTTTTATCCAAGGCAGTTCTCCAAATTGAATAAACTCGTAAAGCCCAAGATGGGGCTTCTTGCAGATCTCATCTCACATAATCACATATATAAGCGAACACTCCCTTTAAAAATAAAATGAGTGACTGACGAAACGGTTTGTTTAAGGATGAGAGTGATAAGTATTACAGTTCTAGAGCGGATACAATGCATACTATTGAGAGTACTATAGTGGAGCTAGGAGGAATATTTTCACAGGTAAAGTATATTCTATATGCCAGCCAATCAATCAATCAAGTAAATCAAAAATCGACTTGAGCTGAGCAAACAGTAATTTTTGAAGAAATGTTTATGAACTATGAATTAGATTTAAGCATTTATAATGTTTATGATCATGTTAACTGGTAACGATGTTTTTGATCATGTTAACTGGTAACGATGTTTTTGATCATGTTAACTAGTAACGATGTTTTTGATCATGTTAACTGGTAACGATGTTTTTGACCATGTTTACTGGTAACGATGTTTTTGATCATGTTAACTAGTAACGATGTTTTTGATCATGTTAACTGGTAAAGATGTTTTGATCATGTTAACTGGTAACGATGTTTTTGATCATGTGAACTGGTAACGATGTTTTTGATCATGTGAACTGGTAACGATGTTTTTGATTATGTGAACTGGTAACGATGTTTTTGATCATGTTAACTAGTAACGATGTTTTTGATCTTGAAGATTTCAACGATTATTATTAAGTTGGCACACATGGTGAAAGAACAAGAGGAGATGGTTCAGAGAATAGATTCTAATGTCGAGGATACACTCTTTAATGTTGAACTAGGACACAATGAGATACTTAAGTAAGTAAAATCTATCTATCTATATCTATATATATCTATCAATCAACTAAAGAAAAGACTAATGACAAGTGACCCTTCATGCATAGATGGCAATGTCCGATTTACAACGTCATCCTTGAAAGCTTATGATCAAATTTATTTTTTTAATTGCTGTTCTCTACAAAATTGACTTTCGCGTTTATATGTGCAGCAGAAAAACATGTAGGAATTGATAAAATTAAACATTTTTCTATCTAGAAAAGCGACAAAATATTCCACATATTTATCAGATAAAGGTTTTAATGCTATCCTCCTGGATCGGGTATTACCATTTTTGCATGGAGGTTCTCTTGAAACTACGCTTACAGTCCCTTTCATCTTTTTTTGTTATAAAGAAAAAAATGTCTTCCATGGTTATTTGATGACATTTAGTCCAATTCTTAAACTCATAAAATAATTTACTTTTTTTTAGGTATTTTCAGTCTGTGACTTCAAACCGATGGTTGATGGTGAAAATCTTCGCAGTTCTTATTTTCTTCTTCCTTCTCTTCGTCGTTTTTATGGCGTAAACATTAAACAATCGTTAATCGTAATATTTTTATTGTAATGCTAGGACCTGCATTTAAACATCGCTGACTCGGGAGATTTCTAAAGATTTTAATTTATAATTACCCACTTCTGTGTTTCTCAATGTATATTTTATCTCATCTGTTCTTCGGAAAAATGGTTTGTTTACTGATTATTTTTCTTGGTTTCTGAATTTACAAATTCTAGACAAGTTCCAGCGGGTTTTTTAACTATGCCACCCCCCCCCCTCTCTACAAACATTTTTTTTCATGTTTCCGTAACTCAAGTCGAGTAAATTTTAGACATTATTAAATTTTTCTAACGGAGGTGATTGCAAAGTATATTTTATTCAAGGTTAAAATAGTTGATTTTCTTAAATTTATCAGTCCAAAAAGTCATTAAAAACGAAGACGTTAGCGATAAATCACTAATTACAGAATGCTTCTATAAGCTGAATAGCCTTACAGCGAACAGATTTTATTAAGATGTTCCAAATATAATTTGAATAGGCTTGTTACAAACACTTGAGTAATATATAGTGAGGAGTGATGAGTATATCAAACGTACTCATAAGATAGACGAGGAATATCCTCTTTGTGCACTTGTTGGTGTGTTTTCACATTGGTTAACGGTTTTCTTTTCAGTTCTTTTTATTTTGGAAGATTTTAAGAAATTGTTATGAAATCGTGAATGTACAAATTGTACATATTCCCTGAACCCCTCTACTATGAGGCCTATTCAATTTTTTAACACAGTGTGTATATTTCATAAAATTTAATATTTATTTTATTTTGGGAGGTTACCCAAATTTATCTGCCTCTGGAAGGGTCTGTTAGTGTTTAGATAGAAATATATTTTATAATCTTATAATAAATTGTATGTGCTAAACATTAATGCCAAATAAAAAGGCCTGAGAAAGGGAATTGCTTAGACATTGGTATATTTTGGACAAGGACTGTTATGTTTTAGCTTTCAGAAACATCATTAAAGTACTTTAAGCGCAATTGGCCCTCTATTCAAAGATGGCAATGTCCGATTTACACTGGTACCCTTCAATGATGTTTTCCTTTAGTAGAAATGCGCAAGTAACTTTTGATGAGACATAACCATTTAGAATTATCACTCAAACTATTTTCAAGTTTACTAAGTTTTAAAATTAATATCTAATTCATGCCTGATCAGACAAAGCTTTTAAGGGTACCGTTGTGAATCGGGTATCGCAGAAAGGTTCGGTTAAAATTACGCTTACAGACTACAGTCCCTATAAAGCTGTAACATATGCAGGCTTAGTGTTTCCGCATTTTAAAATGTGAAGTGTTCCAAATAATTAGCATTTCTTTTAAGATCAATATGATAAAAGACGTAGCTTGATTGAATCCATTTTTCTAAGCAAAAGCATCCCAAATCCCATCTTGATGTTTTTGTCTGGCTGGTAAATGTAATTGTATCTGTTTACTAATTTACTGTGATATATTTAGAAATGTTAATGTTAAAACCCAATTAAATCCAATTACTTTGTTCTGTGGTAACTTGGAAATTGTGGAAGGAATGTCGCCTGTTCCTAAAAAATTGTTGAAAATCTTAAAGTTCTCAAAAGTTTCAGATTTAAGAAAGAGGACAATATGAATTCCACTATTTTCGTGTTTTAGTGTGTCTAAAATTATTGAAATTTGGTGAAAATGTGATAAACCGACTTAAATCTGAAATCACTCAGACGCCAGTTAGGTCTCCTTCTTTTATAGCTATACTAAGTGATAACTTTGTAATTTATATAAAAATACAGATTTATATATTTGTTTGAAATTATTACATTAAATACATTAACATAAACAACAATACTTGTTTTTTATTTATATATTATTTCAGATGTTATGTTTACACTTCGTGGAGCACTGTCGCAGTTATGTACACATCGTGCCGCTAGAACCGGTTTTTGTGTACTCACAAATGCGGGAAACTACAGATTTTTAGTAAGAGGTACATTGTGTACTTATGAGAACTTTCAATTATGTTTTCCATATTTAGTACGTAAAGAATACGTGACAGGCGTACATTCCAAATTTTAGGGAAACCATGTGGATTTTCGGTAAAGTAAATTGAAATAACCAACTAAATGGCGAAAAGGCTTTGAAAACTGGAAGTTGTTTGCAAACCCCCAATTTTTACTTGATCTAGGAGATTTGGGAGGACATTAAATTTTTGATTTTGACAAACAAGGTTTAAATTTTTTTTCATCAACAATTCATGATAGGATATTATTCAGTTTCTTAGTTAATTCGGAAAATCTTTTTTTGTAAATTAAAAATAAATTTTGCTAATTTGAATTAATTTAATGTGTTGAATAAATATTGAAAGGCCTGAGATATCGTCATTTTAGTAATTTTTTTTCTGAGCAAAGCTCCATTCAACCACTGAATGGGTACGATTACAATGCGGGATATCGAATAAAGATTGAATTAATCTGCATATTAACAAATGATTGAGATCAAGTATTGATCTTGATATCTACAATGCAAGAGTTCCCAGATCTGTTCAATGTCGAACAAATGTTTTCATTTAAAAGGGAACAGCCTAATATGCTGGGCAATTTTTAACGTTTTGTAAAATAAGTGTTATTGTTTTCCATAAATGTAGCGAGAGGGTTACCGACAAAGGAAGCGGGTTCAGAAAAGACTTAACTTCGTACTCACCCTGTATATAGTGTAAATGCAATGTAGATTTGTACTCACCCTGTATATAGTGTAAATGCAATGTAGATTTGTACTCGCCCTGTATATAGTGTAAATGCAATGTAGATTTGGACTCGCCCTGTATATAGTGTAAATCCAATGTAGATTTGGACTCACCCTGTATATAGTGTAAATCCAATGTAGATTTGTACTCGCCCTGTATATAGTGTAAATGCAATGTAGAAATTTGTACTCACCCTGTATATAGTGTAAATGCAATGTAGATTTGGACTCACCCTGTATATAGTGTAAATGCAATGTAGATTTGTACTCACCCTGTATATAGTGTAAATGCAACGTAGTAGAAAAATTATTCATTCTTTAAGGGTAACCCTGGAAGCTAAAATCATATTTCTTTTTAATATTGAAACATTATAGTGAATGATGTAGCAGAGCAAAGCCAAAGATCAATTTCTGGCAGAAAATATTCAAATTCTTTCAAAACGAACTTCAAACCGAATGTTAAATCGACCGCCGATTTAGCAAAATCGTCCAAGACGACTAATGCTAAATTTAACCTGAGCCCAGAGGATGAGAAGATATTGAGTGATGTATTTAGGAATTAATTCTGTAACATGTCCAAAAAAAATTGCGAAATGATCTGATTACTCGTCACAAACTCTAATTTTATATTCCTAATATCTTTACAACCCGACTGTGCTAGATCTAAAAGTACCGCCAGGTGGCTAAAAATAGTCAGTTTCTTCATCTTGTACATTTTGTCTTTAAATGAGTTCAAAATTGTCTTCAACAAAATTATTGAAATTTTTTTTTAATACTGACGTTTTTCACATTTTAAAGTAATTCTAAATTTGAAGCGTGTCGTCAAGAATTCACAATTGTGTTTATATTTCATCTTGTATCTCGAAGACATGTTACATGTATGGGCAGGGATCGGTTTAGTAGAGATCGGTTTATACTAAGTGAAGAATGGGCGGAAATCAAGAGCAGCGTAATCGGTCTACCTTTTGCTCCAGGGTATGTTCCAAAGGTTTTTTAATTAATAAAATCAAAATATCAAAAATTTTATTCTATAGTAACATTGAACTCAATAAAATCCATTGACAATTAAAGAATTTGAGAAAAAGAACTGTTCACAAAAAAATTTATCAAATTGCACTGTATTCTGAAGCTTATATTTATAGAAACCCATAAACAGTTTTTAAAAGTGACTTAATTTCGTTTGTGCTTATAATTACAATTGTGGATTTACTGTAAATGTTTCTTGGATGTTAAGATAGTGTTTATCATGGGAACTGCGGCTATTCCAAAATAATATTTTAATGAGGACTTTTTTGATTTTTCAGTCGGTTAGTAAGCAATATAAACGTGAACAATGCTATACTCAAGTACTGTGGACAGATGGACAGAATTATCATCATCAAATCTTTTAGGAAAATAGTTTGTTTGTATAATTTTAGAACACTTCGCGCCTGCCTTTGTTACTTGAAATTGTTTCTTTTACCTAAAAATATTTGCAATTTTAGATTGCTGAGAAGTTTCTATTTTACAAAAATGCCGTACAAATTACGGGTTCTTAATTATGTAAATCGAATATTTTAAAGGCATTATTTTAAATTCTATCTGACCTTAAATCTTACATGGGGCCAGGAAAATGTCATCAGATTGTTTGCCACATGAAAACTTTCTTTGCAACCTTTCTGTGTAAATCTTTAATATTTCAAACTTTGACGACTTGATTTTAAAGAATTCACAGTTTGAAATTACATCAGGTTGCACGGATAAAAGGATCTGAAAATTAAAGTTTGTAGCACGCAAATTTAAATAACTGTTCTTACGTTTATTGGATCAAAACTACTAGACAAACAGTAGTTATCTCTGTTTGTTTTTTCGTCCGATCATAACTCAGTAACCCCTTGACTGATGTGCACCAAAATTTTGATTGGGGAACTTGGTAGAAGCAAGTAAATGTTCCTAGATTGGTTTATAAATTCTTAATTCAATAGGTTAAGCCTTTCAGAGGGTAAACTTAGTTTCCAGCGAGCTAGAATGACATCAACTATTGTCTAGTGAATACCTGGAAAAACTGGGAAATCAATCTTTGTATATTTTTCCTCTTCTCCAGGCGATAGTTAATACTGGTGATATTAAGGAAACCAAACATGGACGGACATTTGTAATTTACGAAGATTTTAAATGTAATACTTTGGTCAACATATTGTTCAGAAATTATGTCAAATATTTGGACAAGCACTGGGACTTTTTTTTCACTTTTTTCTACTTTTTCCCTAAATCAGTGTAATTCAAAAACTAAGTGTTGGGGAATTATTTTTTAACAAAATTTTACCCCTTTATAATTTCTTAATACTCAACAGTAGTGAACTACACCAAACGATTTTAGGGATGGGTTCAGACGTTTAGGGAGACATGTTACTAAATAGACATTCTGGAATCAGAAAATCAGCTAACTCGGGGCTATAATTTTTATTTTGACTTTAAAAGCTTTAAAATCCAGATTTGTAAATTTAAAATGTCCAATTTGTAAAGGGTGAAGATGGCTTTGTATCGGAAGTATCGAACAAAATTTTAGGAATCAGATCCAATTTTTCGTTTATTTTACACACATTTTCACTTAATAACAATTCTTAATTAGAGGAAGTTTGACGTAATTTCAAGGTGACCCATGGCCCACATCTCAATTTTTAATCTCAAAAGGTTAATTCGGTTAATTTCTATCATTGTCTGTGCTGCATAAGTCCGCAAGTCACTTTCTTAGGGAAAGCACCAGCACAGTTCAAGCAAAAAAAACAAGAAAAATATGTTGGTATTTTGATTCAGATTAAATTAAAGGGCACCGACGCGAAGTGAAGGGGGAGTGCAGCAGGTCACTTGAAATAATTTTAACAGTCCCTTTAATATTTCTAATGTGCCAATTTTAAGGGAAATTTTATTTTTCTTGAATCTGATTAGAGGTTGGATTTGATAACTCAATCTCGGAGCATTATTGGGCAGCTCTTCGGGCATTAATCAAAACCCAGGTAAGACAATATCTCTACAGTAAATTGGACGGTATGGCCCCTTGCCCCCTCTTTTTTTCTATAATATATGCTTCTTCTTTATTTTTAAAGAATCTGGAGCTAGCTAGAATTACGGGTTGGGAAGGATATAATTATATGATTTAGTATTGGAGGAAGGGACTGGAGCTAGCTAGAACTACGGGTTGGGAAGGATATAATGATAACCGTCATGACAGTCATCAACCCAGTGTTCAAACCTTTACCGACCTTGCAGTGAAAGCTTTAGAACAGGTTAGATTGCAAGCAAGTTGTCCTTCGTGGGTTCATTTCCCTCCGTTGGTTCAAATATATCCTAAAGTTTTAACCATTCAACGTACAATGTTAAAACATTAAAAAATGTTAATGAACATAATGAAATGGGCAATTAGAATTAAAACGTAGTTTAAAGAGGAAAACGTAAAAAAGTTTCTTTCAAATCATCAAACAATCAATATTTATTCGAAATAAAGATAAAATGTAATGTGTTTTCTAATCAAAATACATTAATAAACATATACAAGTGTCATAGCATTGCATTTTGTTAGGATGAACCAAAGCATGGCGATGAACTAACTTTATATATATTTATTGATACGCTATACAAGTACTTCCTTAAATAAGATAAATGCAAAAATAACGGTCCAAAAACTTCTAGCGATTAATCGTTTTTTTTAGTTAGTTTTCCTTATATTTCCTCTGCATGGGTAAAAGTTTTCTCAGTTTCATAAAAACAAACTTAGAAAACATTTTCAATATGTTAAAACAGTCTTTTGTGGTACCTATTATGAGTTCGAAAACCTTAAAAGGGTTAGAAAAACAAATCTGGTTAATGCCAATCACTACTCAGAAAGAATTCATTCTAAGACGATTGTACAGAATTTAGTCTTTTTCTTTAAGACTGTTGTTGTAAACTAGTTTCTTTCTTAATATTATATATTTCCTTAAAAGATTTATTGAAGGCAGAAGCATAAGTTCAACCCTTAGATCGTTAAGATAATTAAAATTCTTTGTGGGTAACCTGTTAGGTTTACCACATCAGGTTGCACGATATAAGGATAAGAAAATTAGTATTTTGAGGAGAGTAATTAACTCCTTGATAAGACATTATAAAACATTTTTAATTTTTAATTTCAAAATTTTTAAAACCCTGTAAATACTTGTCTCTATGGTCTAACTCTAACATTATTATTCCATGATCTTTGTAACCTGACTTTAGTATTTATAACTTTGAATTCTGTTAGATTGAATAGTTATCATTTGAAATATCAACGATTTACATCATCATGTTACAAATATATAGTTTGAATTTAGTTATCAGTTTTAAATTTTAAATTTTATCAATGGAATATGTATACAGAGATGGACGCGTACGTTTTTTTTCTACTTGTTTCTTCATCGTTTGTTAACGACCCGTTTAGTGTTTTTAGTCGTTCGATTAAACCATTCGTTATTTTTCTAAACAACACCGTCGTTTTAAAAAATTGTTTGTTGACAAAAACGATGCTCATCTCTATCTGTGTGTGCAGGGAGAAGAGGAACTGATGTGGGATATTATGAAGGAATCTCTGTTCCATGGGAACGATATGCCGCTACGGTATCCTGAAGCTGGAGGACATAAGTAGGTTTTTTTTAGCTACAGTGCAGGGGTAAATATTTTCTTGCTTGCAAATTAATTATCCCTTTCCTCTTTGAACATACTTTTCCCTTATGTTTTCTACGCTAAATTGGGGGGAAAATTTTTGGGAGGAAAAGTATCAATAAGGTAGGACAAATTTACCGGTTAATGTTCACATTTTCATTTTTTTCCCCAATTCTTCATTAATCATTTTGACCCCCGCAACCCCCCCCCCCCTACCTCAAAAAATTAACTTAAACTTTGTTCTTTGTTCTAAATGTCGCCTAGAATTTAATAATTATTCTTTGTTTTAACTAAATTATCCCTCGAAATATTTAGGCCACTTTTTTTAGAAATTGTTAAAAATCTTTAGCGACATTTCATAAATATAAGACCACAAGAATTTCACTGTTTTCTGGTTTTCAGACAAAATCCCACAAAATCAATAGGAATCATTCTTGAAAACATCTGAATTCTAATTTAAATTCTAAAGTTTTTTTTTTACAGAATTCGAGAGACTCTGTACAATAAATGGATCGAGCATTGTGCAAGGTAAGATCTGGACATCAAATAATTTGTTTACAAATAAATTCTTAAGAAAATTTGAAACTAAATTAGGTCTTTAGTAGCAATGACATATTTGAGAAAATAGTAATAAATTAAACGTAAATATCAATTTTAATCCCATTTTTGGCATTGATGACTATTCATTGATGTTTTTAAGATTCTTTTAGTGAAAAGTTTTATTATATAGTTTTGTTCGACATTGAAATCATTTTGTTTGACATTGCAAACATTTTGTTTGACATTGGAAACATTTTGTTTGACATTGCAAACATTTTTTTGACATTAAAAACATTTTGTTTGACATTGAAAACATTTTGTTGGACATTGAAAACATTTTGTTTGACATTGAAAACATTTTGTTTGACATTGAAACATTTTGTTCGACATTGAAAACATTTTGTTCGACATTGAAAACAGTTTGTTCGACATTGAAAACATTTTGTTCGACATTGAAAACATTTTGTTCGACATTGCAAGCATTTGTTTAAACTTACAAACATTTTGTTCGACATTGCAAACATTTTGTTTAAACTTACAAACATTTTGTTCGACATTGCAAATATTTTGTTTAAAATTGCAAACATTTGTTCGACATTGCAAAAAATTTTCGGCATTGCAAACATTTTGTTCGACATTGAAAATATTTTGTTTAAAATTGTAAACATTTGTTCGACATTGACAGGGGAGTTCCTGTTGATAACCCGTTTTCTTAGTAATCCGTTTTCTTAGTTTAGAGAATCCTAAGCTTGGATTAGAGAAATTATTCAATTATTTCCAACAGTTTGATGTTCATCCTACACCCTCTACTTGTAGGAAACTTCAGGTTAGTTTGTTCATCCTACACCCTCTACTTGTAGGAAACTTCAGGTTAGTCTGTTCATCCTACACCCTCAACTTGTAAGAAACTTCAGGTTAGTCTGTTCATCCTACACCCTCAACTTGTAAGAAACTTCAGGTTAGCTTGTTCATCCTACACCCTCAACTTGTAAGACACTTCAGGTTAGTCTGTTCATCCTACACCCTCAACTGTAGGAAACTTCAGGTTAGTTTGTTCAATGTTCATCCTACACCCTCAACTTGCAGAAAACTTCAGGTTAGTTTGTTCATCCTACACCCTCAACTTGTAGGAAACTTCAGGTTAGTCTGTTCATCCTACACCCTCAACTTGTAGGAAACTTTAGGTTAGTTTTTTCATCCTACACCCTCAACTTGTAGAAAACTTCAGGTTAGTTTGTTCATCCTAAACCCTCAACTTGTAAGAAACTTCAGGTTAGTCTGTTCATCCTAAACCCTCAACTTGTAGGAAACTTTAGGTTAGCTTGTTCATCCTACACCCTCAACTTGTAAGAAACTTTAGGTTAGCTTGTTCATCCTACACCCTCAAATTGTAAGAAACTTTAGGTTAGCTTGTTCATCCTACACCCTTAACTTGTAGGAAACTTTAGGTTAGTTTGTTCATCCTACACCCTCAACTTCTAGGAAACTTTAGGTTAGTCTGTTTATCCTACACACTTTAAGGAAACTTTAGGTTAGTCTGTTTATCCTACACACTTTAAGGAAACTTTAATACCTTGCACATTCGACGGAGAATTGACAATGATATTTTACAGGAAGTGTACAGCGGTTTACCGGATTCAAGACTTTCTAACACCCAACTAGATCACTATAAAGGAATTAAGAATATTTAAATAATCTTATTTAGGTTCAAGGTCGTTACTGGGGGAGTGCAGTGGGGGGGGGGGGCTTAGCCCATATATTGCCCTCAAGTCTCTTTTAATTCTTTAGAAACAGTCCTAAAGCATGCAACAAATATTCTGTGATTGTTGCGCATGCGCAGGATCATGTTTCTGTTGTGATACTGTTCTGGATCCTAGTTCTGTTACAGCTGACGAGCTTAAACATCTCAACCAATCTATCCTTCACCATCTCCTCAAAAGAAAGGTCCGTGTAGCTTCTACTTCAAAACTGGTTTTTATTTTGTCATTCTTTGGTCCATGTCAGTTATTTAAAATTAACTACAAAGGGCCGGAGCTTTTCGCCAGGGGCGAACGAGAGTATTTGTGTGGGGGGGGGCACTTTTTTTGCCCTGCCCCCTTGGCAACATTGTGCCCCCCTTCAGTACCCCTTTTTTGACAAAAATATTGATACTTTTTTAACTATGTAAGCTATTCGATCATATACAGTATACACACTTCCATATAACAAGTATCAATAAATTATTTATGTAATTTTTCTAAGTGGACTCATCAGACACTTCCTCTTAATACCGTGGTGTAAGCTTCAATGGGTGAAAAATAAAGTTGTT